AAAAAAAAAAACAACCCAAAAACTTTTATATGATAAAGTTGTCCATAATTAAAGGGAAATATAATGGCCTTTTTCAAGATTGGGCTTGATGTAAAAAAAAATCTTATGGCTGGGTGCTGTGGGTGACCCCTGTAATCCCTACACTTTGGGCAGCTGAGGCAGGCAGATCACGAGGTAAGGAGTTTGAGACTAGCCTGGCAACATGGTGAAACCCCATCTCTACTAAAAATACAAAAATTAGCTGGGTGTGGTAGCATGTGCCCATAATGCCAGCTACTCAGGGGGGCTGAGGCAGAAGAATTGCTGAAACCCAGGAGGCGAAGGTTGCAGTGAGCTAAGATTGCGCCATTGCACTCTAGCCTGGGGGACAGAGTGAGACTGCCTCAGAAAAAAAAAAAACCTCATACACTATATAATTGGTTACAACAGTGGAATTTTCTTAAGGGATTGTTTTACTCTTAATGAATTATAGGATATATATATATATATTTTTTTTTTGAGATGGTGTCTCACTCTGTTGCCCAGGTGGAGTGCAATGGCACAATCATATCTCACTGCAACCTTTGCCTCCTAGGTTCAAGTGGTTCTTCTGCCTCAGTCTACCAATAGCTGGGATTACAGGCACATGCCACTATACCTGGGTAATTTTTTTTGTATTTTTGGAGCGATAGTGTTTCACCATGCTGGTCAGGCTGGTCTTGAACTTCTGACCTTGTGATCTGCCCACCTCGGCCTCCCAAAATGCTGGGATTAAAGGCATGAGCCACTGCACCCAGCTGCTTTTAATTTTTTTTAACTCAAAGTTCATCTTTATTGCATCTCACCATTTTTGGTTTTCTCTCCCCTTTAACCCTTTTAAAGGGCACAAAATCGTAATGCTCTCCTTCAACTCATTTTCAACTTATATAAGTTTTTTTCCTTCAGTTCTATTTGTTGTGGCCTGATGCCAACAACTTTTTCCTTTCTTTCTTCCTTCCTTTCCTTTCCTTCCCTCCTTCCCTCCTTCCTTCCTTCCTTCTCTCTCTCTTTCTTTCCTTTCTTTTCTTTTCTTTCTTTTGACAGAGTTTTGTTCTTGTCATTCAAGGTGAAGTGCAATGGTGTGATCTCAGTTCACTGCAACCTCTGCCTCCCAGTTCAAATGATTCTCCTGCCTCAGCCTCCTGAGGAGCTGGAACTACAGACATGTGCCACCATGCCCGACTAATTTTTGTATTTTCAGTAGAGACAGGATTTCACCATGTTGACCAGGCTGGTCTCAAACCCCTGACCTCAGGTGATCCACCCACTTTGGCCTCCTAAAGTGTTGGGACTACAAGCCTGAGCCATCACACCCAGCCAGATGTAGTAATATTAATAGTTCATTGTTACTTGAGGAGGGGACAAAAGGGAGAAAAGTGAGCCACTGTGCCCAGCCTATCAGGTGCTCTGGAATGCAGGTTTCTGATAACTTTGGAGATTGTGACATCAGAATAGAGGGAAAACTTTCAGGATTCATGGAGAGCTGAAATACTTATGAATATTAAG